CAATTTGTTCTCATGAATGTTTGTGAAAAGGAACTAGTTACTAAAGTATTAATATTCGCCAGCTATGCGCCCAATTATCTGAGTAAACGTTCTGGCGATAATCTTTCAGCCCACTATGAGTGCGAATCAATAGCCGCATGCTCCTATAGTACTTTCTCTGAGACACCGAGAGACACACTTAAATAGCCTCTTCATGCAAAGGACATAGTCAATGATCTATAGCTGCCCAAGTTGTTCTCATGAATGTTTGTGAAATGGAACTAGTAACTAAAGTATGAATATTAGCGTACTGGTAGTTAGTACATGTTAAATATCTTCGTAGTGGATGCTTGGGAAAACAAGGTAAACATACTAATTTCCCTTTTCCATTTTTCTCTAATCTAGTTTATAATTAAGAGTAAGCAAGCAATATGATGTAATCTAGAATCTCGTGTAAATGCTTTTTCCAGTGAAATTCGAAATAAATGCAATGAGATTATTGCTCAGCACTTACCGTCAGAAGAATTTGCTCTTCTTTTCCCCCATCTTCTCACCCTCTCGAGGACACGCCGCAGCTTTCGCATTGCATAGCTGGGTCGTTTCGGCATTGCAGATATCACTCCGGCCATAGTCATGCGTCAGTGAATAATGACGTGGTAGCCGTTTGGCCAAATTCAAACGCCCCAGCTTCGATCCCCTGTCTGCCGCAAAATCGATATGCGACTATTTTGAATCTTCTGCTGGCGCCCTGCAGGCTGCCTTACAGGCTAGGAATGCATGAATTGACTCAGCGTCTGCTCAAACCTCTTGCTGAAATTTTCAGATTGAGAGCGTTTTGAAATTGCGTTCAGATTGCTTGTTTAGTGAATCAGGGGGCGATTGCGCTGTGGCAAATTGCAAATTCAAACGTAGACGAAAATGACCTAATCGGGGTGTGAATCAAGTCTGCTTGTAATCGACAATTTCGCGTTAATTGAGGCGTGTTGAGTTTAGTTCATAAGAAAAATACTATTCGTTTCAAACGGTTCCCAGTAAAAGTAGTAAGCATTGTTTGTGAGCCTTTTAAATCGCCGGCTTAAATTGTGATGGATCATCAAAAATGAATAAATACAACGGTTGAATTGACTTCATGAAATATGCATCGTAAAATTAGATTTTATTTATTTTTCACGATTGGTAGGACAAAGGCCTGAGTGAGGGCAAACTATATGCACCTAGATCTCGCTGGACGACGGGCAGCATGTTATTTTGACCAAGCTTGCAAGTTAGAAAATTAAGAGCTGATTCTAACGAACGATGCTCCCCTAATGCGCCATTGGGTTTTATAAGACCGTAAACCGGAGTACCTATGGTTGGATGGAATTCACTTTGATGAATATAAATTCTAGGGAATGGACGTGATCCAACGATACACTCAACTGACTGCTGACAGATTTGTTGACATTCTACACATAACGGGAATCGATCTAAGCTAATTAAAAAAATGTCGAGTTCACGGTCTGGACAGCAATCGCATCTCATTCTTCCT